CCACCTCTCTCGGTCTCGATCTCGACAGCGCACGCTCGCGCACAGCGCTTCCCATGCAACGCAAAAACGAATGCCGCCCGCCAGAAACACCACCGGATTGCCGTCAGCAAAGCAAAACCGAATGGCCACACCCTCGAAACAAATTCCGCCAGCCGATCTGAAACTTGGGCGAGCCCATGTCCAAGTTGGGCCCGTTTCAGGTCACGTTCACACCTAGCCCTTCCCTCCGAAAAAAAAACCGTCGGACAAGTGCACTTGGCCCACAACACACCCGGTCCACCAGGGAAATGGGTCTCACGTGGGACGCGTTACATGTGACCCGCATTTTTCTTTAAGTGTATAGGGATACATCAGCAGGAGTCAGGCTTGCAGTCGGATACATCCGGGACGTCCAAGTGTGCGTATGCTCTTACTTAGTACTGAAGGCATTTTGAAATCTTGATTGACAGTGGGTATTCTGTAAGCCTTTTTGGTTCAAGAATTTGGTGGTGAATTGCGGTCCAGAGATGATATGTAATGATTCCAGTCTCGAATCGGCTATGTGCCATTTTGAATTGTGGTCCAACATGGCACATAACACGTTGATGACTGTCTGTGGAGGCGACTTGCTGCTGACGGTTCTGCTGACAAAGTGCTCTGGGTGGGGGTTGCTTTCTGTCTTTTGCATTTGGATGGGTGTTTTGTGATTGTTGTCCTGCAGACAGATGAAGTGCATTGGACAGGTCTCGTGTGTAGACTCCTAGAGACAAAAATTCTACAAGAGTTACGATTTGAGCATGGCCGTGTGAGTGGGTGTTGTGGTGAGACTCCCTTCATCTCTGAGTTGCATTACTCCTTGAAATGTTGTGAACGTTTCTGTTAGCCTCTAATATTGACTCTGTATCCGTAAGGGGTGAAAGGGGTGGAGGGTTTGTCCAATGGGACATCCGTTGAAATCGGAATGATACAGAGAAGATTGGCATGGCCACATCGCAAGGCAGATGTGCAGAAATCAAGAAATTGTCCAAGGGCTGGAGGGTTTGACCTTTGGGACATCCGTTAAAATTGGAACGATACGGAGAAGATTAGCATGACATCCGTAATAATTGGAATGATACAGAAGATTATTTAGGGCACATCACAAGGCAGATGCGCATAAATCAACAAATTGTCCAAGGGCTGAAGGGTTTGTTCTTTGGGACATCCGTTAAAATTGGAACGATACAGAGAAGATTAGCATGGCCATGTCACAAGGCAGATGCGTGTAAAATTGTAAATCAAGAAATGGTCCAATTAAGAAAGAAAAAATTAAAAAAAGGCTGGAGGGCTTCACGAGACCAAGAGCTTGCCATTTTGTTTCCATTTTTTCTTTCTTGGGTAGGGAGCCTGTCACTGAATGGCCAAATGGCACAGCAAATAGAACTTTTAACCTTTGCTGTGGTCGTAGCACATGGCTATCTAGTGATGGCAACCTGGTTGTAGCTGCTGGATTTTATTGCTGTGTCAAGGATTGTGACATTGGGCTTCGCCCCACTGCAGGATACCAAATGTATCTGGACCTCTTAGGGATCCGAAACATTCAAAATCTTGTCATCAGCCTAATTGTATCAGGTCTGCATGCGAGTCCAGATATTGTCGAATGCTGGGTAGTGGAGTGAGGCCCATTGTTAGCAAAGAAGCATGCAATCAAATGCTTGGACAATGGGCAAAAGCCGGATCCAGCAATATCGCGTGAGCGAAGAAGGGGATTTATCTTGTAAAGCTCTTTCATCGGTACTGAGATTATGACAAAAACTGAGGAAGAAGCCCCGGCTAACTCCGTGCCAGCAGATGCGGTAAGACGGGGGGTGCAAGTGTTATTCGGAATGACTAGGCGTAAAGAGCACGTGGGCGGTGAACTAGGCGCAAAGCGGTGAAAGTCGCCAGCTCAACTGGTGGAATGCCTTCAAAACCGGTTCACTGGAGTAAGATAGAGGAAAGTCATAGATAACCTCGATAAGCTTTGCCTCAAGCAAAGGACTGCACTAGACTGACGTCAACAGAAAAAAGTGCGGATGCAAGACAAGTTTCACAACAAACACTGACTTATGCACTTACAAAATAGCTATGTGTCCTCTCAGACAGATCTAACAGAAGACAATTGCAAGGTACCTACCATCTTCAACCGAATGGAACGCCCGGCAGTGTTGCATACCCGAGGGTCGGAGCCCATTGACTGGTCGGCACCTGCCGGTCGGGGGGCATCGGCACTCTGAAAAAAAAAGAAAGGAGGACCCGGAACTCCCAATAACCTCACCAACACCCCCATGCCCGCCCCCAGTACCCCCATACAGCCCCTGAACACCCCCAAACCGCCCCCCAACACCCTTGTAACCCCCTCATACACCCTATACCACCCCTATACCCCCGTATACGCCCGCCCCCAACCCCCCATCCCCTGCCCCATCCCCAACAGTTTGTCAGCGGTTTTGGGCTGTACTCAGCAAGCGCAGTACAACCCCCAACTCAGATTTGAAAAGAAATCAGTGGATGACTGTTTCCTTACTGGTCGGCCCAAGTGGTCGGCCGCAAAACGGTCGGTGGTCAGGGTCGGCAGTCGGCAGGTATGCAAGCCTGACCTCTGGTCATTATAGCTGCATTTGGGCCAAGTTGCGGTCTATATACACTATTATACAGTGATGATGACGGGCTGTTCTTTTCAGGTGAAGACGGTAGCGCCAGACGCGGTGGGGGCACACTGATAGAAACCGTCTGTCCCGCCAGGTGGCTGCTACAGGCAAAATCCAAGGACATCCGTTAAAATTGGAACGATACAGAGAAGATTAGCATGGCCTACCTACATAGTTCGAGGTGGTATGAAGTTACTATGAACACCTCTCACTGGTACTCACTTCGCGGATGGGGAGCAGCATCTACTACGGGTCCACACACATTACAAACGTACACAGCCTATGGGCACATATCTACAATACAGAACACTCACACATACATCAAAAAAAACACAGGGCTGGGAGGAGGTCACGATCAACTGATGATGATAGGCGTCTCGATGATAAGTACCCCCCTTAAAATCAGCTAGGACTGTTGTGGGCTAGTAGAGGGTATGAGTTACTGGTTGGTAGGGATCAACCAATGATGATGATAGGCGTCTCGATGACAAGTACCCCCCTTAAAATCAGCTAGGACTGTTGTGGGCGAGTAGAGGGTATGAGTTACTGGTTGGTAGGGATCAACCAATGATGATGATAGGCGTCTCGATGACAAGTACCCCCCTTAAAATCAGCTAGACTGTGTGGGGCAGACTAGGGCTGTGGTGGGCGTGTAGAGGGCGTGAGTCACTGGTTGGTCCAGATTAACTGATGATGATGATAGGCGTTTCGAGGATAAGTACCCGGCCTAAAAAATAAGCTAGGACTGTGGTGGGCGAGTAGAGGGCGTGAGTTACCAGTTGGTTAACGTAGGGGCTTGTAGGTTATTGCTTGAGCTTGGCGTCCGAATTTCCCGTGCGATGAGGCTCTCGTTCGATTCCGCTTCCACCGGGGCTGGGTCATAGCTAGCCCTGGTGCCTGTCATCACTGTTCGGTCGAAGTTCCCCTCGATACTAAGTAGGGGTAATGGTCCTGAGTGCTGCTCACACTGAGGTAGGATAGTAGAGATAGGGGGTACGCTAGGAGTATTGGCGTAAGGATGCAACAGGAGGTAGCGTCGTTCCCTCAGGACAACCATGGCCGACCGTTTCAGGTGTTCAATGTGTGCCTAGTAACCAGCCTCTACAACACCCTGGGCTTTGGAAAAAAAAAAAAAAAAAAAAGCATGGCCCCTGCACAAGGATGAAACACATATATGGAGAAATGGCCCTAATAAAGAAAAGGAAATTACCGGCCAAAAATGTGAACAGGAAACTGGGTGCCCAAAAAATAATAGGGCACCCATCCTACCAGCAAAATAAATAAATGGAGCCCGGTTACATCTATGCAGGACTTGTGTTGATACCTGACCTAGTGCCAGCCCGGGCAACTGTCCAAAACTCAGGGTACAGGGCCGGCAAAAAAAATAAATGGTTGTGCCGAGTACAGTGCTAAGGCCGTCCAGAGATAGGGTGCAGCGCCCTGCAAGCACTGCGCGTACTGTGGTGTCCAGCTCGCCCCCAACCGATCTTGAAAAGGTGGAGCTGAGGGTTACCTCTCACGCCTGGCCGTACTACTCGTGACCACATCAGGTCTCCTAGGTGAGGAGCCTCGGGTCAAAGGAAGTGTGGAGCAAAAGGGCAAAAGGGCAAAAGCTCATATTGATTTGCAGTTCGAGCACAACCTGTGAAAACAAACAAAAACAGTTCCAAGGGCCTCATGTAAGGGCCACCCGCTACACGCTACAGATATGGCCTTGAACTTCCAGCACCTTTGCCAGCTCTTTTGTTCCTAATTGCCTGTGTTCTTATATTCCGGGCACAGCGGCCGCCAGCACAGGGGCTGCCCGCACCTGTGCGGACGGCTGTCCATCCACTAGGCTGGGCGGGCGACGCCGTAAGGGTCCCCGCAACCTCAGCGCGCAGGTGCAACTTGCTGCTCTTCGTAACAGCTACGGCTTCCCACCATAGAGCGGGGCTGACACATTTAATTTGGAAACAAAGCATGTTGGGGACACTGTTGTTACAACCCCCCCCTCCCCCCCTTTTTTTCCCTTGTTTTCTTTAGGTTCGCAGAGAGGGGATGGGGACCACTTGCCCGTCAGGGCCAGGAAAAATAAAAAAAATATTGTCTTTAATTTTAATCTTAATTTTTTATTTGGTAAAGAAGTTCGATGCGAACGTAGGCAAAAGTTGTCCAGTTTATGTTTCTGGATCCAGTGGATAGTTTTTTTTCAACCGTGAGTACACGGCCCCAGCCTTGCAGAATTTTTTTGTCGCCACAGGCAAAACTCGGAGGGGCCGCGTGGCGCGGGGCGCTGTTAAAAAAAAAAATTGGCGGACTCCAAAGTGGTTCGGGTATTATGCTGACACACGGGCCGATGTGTGGTGTACTGGTGCTAAATCTTTTTCTTCCCCCTTTTTGCTGGGACCTTCCGCGGCCCTTGACTGGGCGGGCCGCCTTTAGCCCAGTTGTTTCTCTGATATTGGGAAAGTGGGAAGAACTTTAAAAAAGCTAGGAAGATTGTCACTCCTGGGCGGGCCTGCCCGGGCCTGGGAAAAAGTGGGCTTAGTGGGGTCAATTTTATTTATTTATTTTTTGGGGGGATGTGGATTTTCCGTGTATGCCCAGAGGACCCAAATGTGCTTGAGTGTTGGCTGCCACGGAGCGGGAAGTGGGGTATAAATTGGTTTCAAAGATGTTAGAGGGGCTTGAAGTGGGGTGCCTTAGGCTGATTTTGTCATTTTATTTTCTATCTTCAATTCAGTGAGGAATTCTGAATTCTGATGTGAGTCATGTGACCCTCAGCCAAAAGTCGTTTGCATTGCAGTTCTACACGACACATTTTTTCCGGAACTATGTTATTCTTAGTAGACTCGGGTCCTCAAACAAAGTTCTGAACGGGGAAGCTAAGGACACAAGATCCGTCCGGCCGAGCTGCCTGGCCTGGTGCGAGGGGGATGGTCCACCTGGTCTGTCTGGGTGGGGCTGAAAGTGACCCAGAAAATCCCCCTCCTCCTCCTGATGGGGGCTGCACTTGTCGAGGACATGGAGAACTGGACTGTGTCATAATCGATTTTTATATGCTCGGGATGTCTAACGTGGAGTCGATCGGATGTAGTATCTTTCTCGGCCTTTTGGCTAAGATCAAGTGTAGTATCTGTTCTGATCAATGTAATATCTGATCCGTGGTCCTTCGGGCCACCAAAAAAAAAAAAAACATGCAGTCGAGTGGGGGGGGGGGGGGGGCGGGGGGGGGGCGAGGGGAAGGTTGGTCGGGTTGAGGGCTGGGGTTGGGCATTAGTGGGTAGGTGGGGGTTAAGGGCAACACTGAAGAGAGCGGGATGGTCTGCCTGGCCTATCTGGGCGGGGGCGAAAGTGACACATATTTATTTATTTTCCTCGTCCTGATTGCACATTGTGGCTTCACTTATTGAGAACATGCAGAACCAGACTGTGTCGTCATCGCATCTTATATGCTTGGGATGTCTAGCGTCCATTCGAGTTGGGGTGGGGGTTGGGGGGTTGAAGGGGGGGGTTCAGGGCTCGGGTTGGGGTTGAGTGGGTGGGTGGGGTAAGGGTGAGGCCGAAGAGAGAGCGGAGGATGGAAGATGGTTGAAGGAAAAAGGATGCAGAGGAAAGGTGTGGTCGGTGGGGTCGAGGGCTCGGGTTGGGTCCGAGGGGGTAAGGGGGAGTAAGGGCGATGCCGAAGAGCTCGGAGGAAAGAAGATGGTTGAGGGAAGAAGGATGCGGAAAAAAGGAGATGGTCGAGGGAAAGACGAATGTGGAGGACTGGAAACAGCGGAGGGAAGAAGATGGTTAAGGATGAAGAACAACAAAGAATAAGAAAAAAGAAGGCTAAAGAAGAAGATGGGGAAAGAAGAGGAAGGCGGTACAAGTAGTTCGAGAGGTTTAAAGGATGTCTCGACTTCTCTTGCATTTTTTTTTTTATCATCCTGGAAATAAGGAGGAATTCGGAGATGACCCTTGGCCAAAAGTTGTTTGTAACTTTGTACTAAGTTTGTAGTACTTTGTACTATCATTTTTTGCAACTAGTGCATTTTGGAATGTTTGATTTTCTCATTGCCCTGAATTTGGGACTGCCCTTGCCGGCCCTCTCCAGGTGGAACAGGGGAGAGCTCCTGGGGTCCTGCCCGGATCGTAACACAACAGCAAAGGAAATTGACAAAGGAATTAGAGACCTGACTCTGCCTATTTGGCTGCTCCTGTCGCCTTTTTTGTCATTTGCATGTTTCTAACGGCAGGTTTATACTGTTAGTGTTTCTGCATTCCTTGGCGGTTCACGACCTTCACGGGTGGGCGGAGTGCGCGGCGACATTGCAGTTAGCTTTTCATGTGATCCGGAAAACACCTGGCAACTTGTGAGTGAAAAAATTGGGGGATTCCGCCCTCATGGAGTTTTCCCAACCTTTACAAAAAAAGTCTTTTATTTGAAATTTCCGATTTTTTTTTTTTTATAAATTAAGTTGGACCATTTCTCGATTTATATGTGTCATGATGTCATCCTTGTATCGTTCCAATTTTAACGGATGTCCCGAAGGACAAATTTGGTGAACAATTTCGGTGTGACTGTGCGGCAAAAGTTGTTCAGTTTATCTTTCTGCGAAACATATTTTTAAAATCCTTTTTCTTTTCGTTTTTTTTTTTTTTTTTTTTTTTGCTGGGAGTCTGGGATTTTGTTTGGTCCTTGCACGGCTGGGCTGCCCGGGCAAACAACGTGACCCGGGCGGCCTCGCTGGTAGCTTAGATATTTAGACTGAAAGCTGCCCCAAATACCGCTATAATGACTGTACGATGGTGTATGCCCTATTCGGGGGAAGATGGTAGTTGCAGCTATGATGATACGGAGAGCATGGTTGCATATAAGCATGCTCACATATTTTTATCGCGAGTCCGTAACACATAGCTGTATCTCTGTATATCATCTGCGCGCGCCATGTAGTAATCACTTTTCATTCAGGACTACCGCTGTTGTTTTCTTTTTCTTCTTCTTTTTCTTTTTCTTTTTGCTGCTTTTTTCGACCGTGGAAAACTCGAAAAGGTCTGAATGTAGCGAGCCACTACGAGCATACTCACACCTAAACCACCAGTGCCCCAGGGGGTCTTAGGCCCCCCTCTGACGCAAATCCATATGGACCCGCGCGGCGCACCGATTCAGTCCCGCCTTAACGCCAAAAAGCATGGTAGGTACTGGTGGTTTAAATGCGGTCAGATACATTTGAGATAGGGCTAGTGTGAGTACAGATATTGAAAAGTTAAATGCGATCAGATATTGAACAGTTTTTTCACAGGTGGTCCGCATTGGTTACAGCCGGTCGCTCAGCTTTTTAACTTGGTAATCCGTTGTTCAGAAAGGGGACCCTCTGATGGTTAAATGCATTTTGGGGACTTGTGGGTTCAGATGTGTACGATACCGGGGCACCGGCCGGTGAATCAGTAGTTGACTGTGGGATGGAGTAGGTCGGGTGCTTGAACCAAGAGTGGCTTTGTCAACAAGGCAAGTCTGTTTGTTAGGTGTTAGCTGAGTGTGAGGTAGGTAGATCGGACCTCGGGTCGTGTACAGTGACGTCCCCTGGCCCGGGACTCTGCATTGGAGTGTTTTGGTTTTGGCCGGTGCGTTTTGCTTTGTTTTCTTCGGTCCTTGAGCCCAGGAACTGTGCTTGGTAGGGATTTCACTCATGTTGAGGTCCTTAGAGGTACTACGGATTGCAATTACGTCTATAAATAAGGAAACAAATTAAAAAAAACTCCCTAGTGTGAGTAACCAACCCCTTGCAATAGTCAACTTGGACTGAGGTAGCACTTTTTTGACAAAGCTGTGGATGCGATTGCAGCCAGATGCATCCAGGTGTGGCCTTAATTGCAGTCAGGTGCATCTCGGAAACTGCTAGTGCGAGTATGGCCTAACAGTAACTGTTCAGAAAGGACCCATGCGCAATACTCGAGGCGCGATTGGTCGCTCACTGCGACAAGAAGAGCTGCTGCCAAGCACCAGTACCCTGTTGTTGATTGTCGAAGGCAATTTTTTATGTGGGCTAATGGGGGTTTTTATACGGTGATCGATGTTAATCGAATTTTATCTGGTGGTTGATGTTTATCCACTTGTTAGGTTGATGACGTCCTCGACGTAGTTAGAAAGCTACAGCAGGACGGTCCCAGCCAAGCAGACATTGATACGATACTAGAGGTGGAGAAACGATCTTATGAGACAGGTTTGCAGGTATGAAATTGATCTGCTCTCTCATATAACTGGATTTTTTATTTTAATATTGTCTTTTTTTTTAAAAAAAAATCTTCTTTTTTTTCTTCCAACAACACATTACAGTACACTGGAGTTATAATCCGCTTCTTTGTCTTTTTTGTAATTTGAATTTGACAAAAAAAAATTGGACTCAACTTCTCTCTTATAACACTGGAGTGTTTTTGTTTTTTTTTGTCTTTTTTCTTCTTTTTCCCCCCAACAACGCATTACATTACACGCTGGAGTTTGATTCACCACTTCTTTTTCTTTTTTCTAAGTTGAATTTGGCAAAAAAAATTGATGTATGTATTCCTTAGACTGATTTTTTTTTTTTTTTTTAATGAATGGAGCCAGGCCCAGCGTCCCTTATAATACAATGCCAGGAATCGGGCCTGGCATTCCTCACAAAACTTTTCTGACCCCACTGAAGGGCGAGACATGATCTGTCAAGCCCTAAAACCGGACGACCACTGCACACCACAAACCCAGATTGATGTGTGTTATCCTTGAGTCGATTTATTTTATTTTATTTTATTCTATTCTTATTCTTATTCTTATTTTATAATTTATTAATTTTAATTTTATTTTATTTTATTTTTCCCATGGTCTGATGGACCACAGGTCAGGTATACTAAACTGAACGGAACAGATACTACACTTGAGTGTTTTGTTTTTGCCACTTTTGTTTTTTTTTTTCCTAACAAACACATTACATTACAGTGATGATTTCACTGGAGTTTTACATACCACTTCATTTTCTTGTTGCAGTTTGAATTTGCTAACANAACACATTACATTACAGTGATGATTTCACTGGAGTTTTACATACCACTTCATTTTCTTGTTGCAGTTTGAATTTGCTAACAACAAACTGGACCATTTGTCGATTGATGTGTGTTATCGTTGAGCCGATTGTTTTTTTTTTTTTTTTTTTGGTCATGGACTGATGGACCACAGATCAGATATATTAAAGTGAGCGGAACATATTACACTTGATCTTGCCGGATGTGCCATGCAAAATATTATTTCTCTGTATGAGAAGACCGCGGAAAGTTTTGCTGCTCGTGGCCTGGGTTCCGTCAACCAACTGACGCGACACAATTGTCTGAACCCCAAATGCGAAATTGACAACAATGGGCCTCTCGTGATTTTGGTCAGGCCTGCCTTCACTTAGGGCGGGCACATCTGCAAAATGGGGCCCTTAGTCCTGCCGAGGAGCCAGATCCTCGCATTCCCTCCATCTTTACTTCGATAGTCCCCGTTGAAGTTCTTTAGTTTGCAGGCATCTTTCTCTTAAGTCTTCTTTCATATCCTGCAATCACTTGGGGAGCTGTCTGCTGCAGTTCCTCTCTGGTAAACCACCGATCTTCGCTGGGATCAGTCTGATGTCTGAATCTGACCACCGATCACTGCATCCTCGGCTTTGGAGGTCTGCCTCTTCCGGGAGGCTTAGGTACAGGCATCACTCTGTGGTCCACAATATCATCGATGTCGGCTTCGCCATCTATGGTTGGGGGCAGCATTGATCGTCTGGAAGGAAACTGTGCAGTCTCTGCGAAAGGTGCCAGCTTGGAGGCGTGAAAGACTGGGTGTGTGCACAGGTGAGCAGGGATGCGAATCACATAGGAAGGCCCATCTAGTATCTGATTCCCAACTATATCTAGGACCTCCCAGGGGCTGAAATACTGACGCATTAGTTTTCGTGATATACCCAACTCCTGACCCACACTCTAACACCTACCTGAAAGTCGGATGGTCGTCTATGTCTGTTCTCAGATGCTACCATGGCATCTTGAGCTTTCCTAATATGTTCTACAGCCTGTTGTAGCATATGCTCATATTTGACAGCAAACTCGCTGCAGTAAGTCTGCATTGAAGCACTATAAAATCTCTGTTTGTTGTTTGCTTTTGAGGTTTCTGATTTTATTATATATTTTGTTATTTTCTATTTTTTAATATTTTATTGGTTTAATGCTCCTTTGCAGGAAAATGGGTTCTGGCTGGACCGACTCCTCCGAGCATATCAATCACGACTCTACATTGGAGACCTGCGTGCATCTTTCCAGGTATTGTAGTATGATCCACACTGTCTACAGGAGTTTTTTTTTTGTGTGTGTGGGGGGCGGGGGGGGGGGGCATTGCTGTAGCTGCTGAATCAATGCAAAAAACAATTGCATGCGCTTTTTACGTGGGGCCAGTCGATTCAATATTGATAGCTTGAGTCTGTCACCCTTTTCTTTAAAAAAAAAAAAAAAAAGGAAGAAGGAATTTGTCGCGTCCAGTCCAGTGCAGTCAGCAGCCCATGGTCCCAGGAGAGACGACGAACAATTCCGCAAAAATGTCAATGACCGACAAAGCTAAGCCCACGGGCTACTGGGCACCGGGCCGAGAGGCCCAAGGGTTTGCAAGCGGAATGGTCATGCATAAAAGAACTTCAGCCTTTGCCAGCAACATTGGGCCTCGCTTCGCCACTGACCACATGCAAAAGAAAGACAAAAATATGCGGTGCATCTTTCCATGTTCTAGCAGAAGATTCATTCTCATTTTGCACGTTTGGTGAGTAGTGGAGTGAAGCCCATTCATTCATTCCTATGATAGTAACCACATCTGTGAGCATGTGATGTTTCGAGACTGCATTACTCTCCACATGCAAAAGAAGACAACAAATATGGCGATGTGTACTTTCCATGTTCTAGCGGGTGATTCATTGAATTCGTTCAGTTTTTTTTAATAAATGAAATCTCTCTGTTTTTTTTCAATAGCATGATTCCATTGTATGAGCGAAAGGAGGCCGCTGTGTATCATCCCTCCACATCGCAACCCTGAATGCTGTGGCCAATACCCGGCTTAGGTTCGTAGTGGAAAACGGGTCCGGTGTCCCATGCTTCAAAATCTCAAGATGCTATTCCAGAATGAAATATAGAAGCTGGATTAACAACAAACAGCACAAAGATGAGAAAGAAAGCTTCGACTAAAGCAGGCGAAAATCTATTCCGCCTGTGCCTACTACAGCGAAATCCTTATAGTCTCTGGGTGATTCATTGTCATTTTGCACATTTGGAGAGTAGTGGAGCGAGCCCCAAAATCAAGCCCTTGTAAATGAGCAAAACCAGGTGCTCGAATTTTACGACGATAAGGACGCATTTGTGATTGATGCCAAAGCGCTGTTTGCCGGTGGTGTGCGTAAGTGATGAGTGAGGGCACACTCACAATAGGAATGTCGTGGATGTATATGACCGCTTTTCCGCCCAGACATGGATGCACCGAACCACAATCACGTCCGCAGAGGACTCCAGAAAGTGTGAGTATGCCCTGAGACAGGAAGGGAGGGTGAGAGCTGCTGACGTCAACAGGCGCTGATTGCCATATCTGTAGTTGGACATGGGCAAGGAAGAGAGAAGTCTCTCAGAGCGAGAGAGAAAGTGGCGAGAGTGAAAGAGCTCATCCTTGGCTGATGTTTGCTGGCGTCCATAGCTGCATAGCTTGGTGCGTACAAAATGGTTGTATAAGATTTTTATTTCTGACCAATTTTGAGTTCTCGTATCTCGTGCTTTGGTCTCCGAATCGGGTGCCCTGAAGTGTGCCTCTTGGTGTGACGTCAGATGCTCGTCTCTGAGGTGTGGGCTCACTGCGTTTTTCTGAACTTGGGGTGTGTACTCACTCACACTAGAACTATCTTGTTCGTACTCACTCACACTAGAACTATCTTGTTCGTACTCTCTCACACTAGAACTATCTTGTTCGTATCACAGAGCGTAGGTCCAGCTTCGGTGTAAAAGTGTGGTTGTAACTTCTCGCCGAGCTCAACCATCACAGCTGTCGTGGGATTTTACTGTTATTGTGATATCATGGCCGTGGACTGCATTTTTTTTTTCTCGTGCGACACTTTGTGCGGTTGAGGTAGCGAACCTATAGGGCTCAAGGCTATAGGCCTCGCCGCACGGCACATAAAACAAAAAAATATGAATGCATCGTCTCACGAAAACTGGGACTCAGGGTCCTTAAGCCATAATGGAAGGAAGCGTGGAGCGGGTCACTTCGGTAAGGGATGCTGGACCGAGTTTCGAGCCATAATGTAAGCAAGTGTAGATGCTGGAAGGAAAAAAAAAGGAAGAAAGTTGAAGAAACTGGAAAAGTGGGCGGGTGTCCTTTTCTTCATCCCTTTTTTCTTTCGGCGTTTTGCTGCCCCGTTTTTTTTTCTCATTTTCGCAGCTGTTGTTTGGTGCCCCCCTTTTCTTTTCTTCGTTTAGCAGGCGACCGTCGTTTGCCGTCGTTTTGTTCCCCCTTTTCTTTTTTTTGTTTTCCCAGCCGGGGGACGAAGAGAAAAGCGGTTGGGTGGTCATCACACCGTCACCGTGGCCGGCTGGTTGGGTCACTTTGGTAAGGGACGCTGGACCCGGTTTCCAGCCATAGATGCTGGAAGGAAAAGAGGAAGAAAGTTGAAGAAACTAAGTGGAAAAGATTCATCCATTTACTTTGGGGGCAAATTTCAGTCTAGATGCAGTGATAATGACCGTTCACTCTATTCGGTGAATACGGTAGTAGCGAATGTATTTTACGCTCATCTCTGAACAAATGCAGTCGTTTTTTTTTGGTTTCGATCCGGCCTGCTGTTTTGACTCGTGTGCTATGGCTCCTTTGAGAAGGGTGGCGATTAATGTCTGCAATTTTATGGGTTTTCGTGAAATAATAGGCACAGGAGGACTCTTGGATAAGGGTGATGCGGTCGGCGGCTGTTACAGAGAATATGAAGGCGGCATTGCGACGCATTCTGCCGAACCCTTGTACGGAGCACTACACAGGAGTATGCCTCCTTCCGCGCCCTCCACTCTGGAGGCGTGTGTGGAAATTCAGCTCAACAGGAAAAGGATCGTATGGTGGACGCTTCACCCCAGAAACGACGGTATGGCTCCTCTACCTGCCGTCTCCTCAACCGGCTATCTTTTTTTTTTTTTTTTTTTTCCTTCTATGTCCTGCATCATGTTAAAATGAAATGGGGAAAAAAGAACAGAGTGTGAAAGAAGTACACATGGGCTTGGTAGTGAAAGGAGCATGCAATTATTCAATTTGACTGGGCTTATTAGCTAGGGAAAAAAAATTGGACGACTTTGCGTGCGGTCCTGACGCAACTCTATTCTGGCTCTGGCACCCCCTAACATCTTGTTCGGACTTCTCGCACGGTGGGGGGTCATTCTCCATGGGCGCTATGTCTCTGAGAGGAAGGCATGAACCTGTGCAGAAAAACGGGCAGGTTCATGCCAGTTCGGGCAACTGTAGCACCAGTGGGGTCTGCTCCTTACCATTGGAGATCACAGCGTACCTGCAGCCCCACAAATGAACACCAAATTGGCCTTTTTTGTGGTGATGTTAGTCCCTCCTGTCTAACAGTCGTCATTCTCTCTCTCTCTCTCTCTCTCTCTCTCTCTCTCTCTCTCTCTCTCTCTCTCTCTCTCTCTCTCTCT